AGGTCCCACAAAACGGGAGTTGTTCATTGTTAAAGTTAAGGGCTTGAAGTACCATTTCAGCTATACTCTGGATCAGGGCCGCAAATGGTTTAGCTGTTATTAAGCCGTAAAAAGTGCCAAGAAATCTAAAATGTGATTATTTGATCCCGATTTTCGTAAAATTGTGTCGTGATAGAAACTTTCTAAGTTTGAGGTCATAATCTACAGGATAGATCTTTTAGATTTTGTAGCATATAGTTTTGGGCTAATGTTTTAGGCAGTGTAATTATATTTATTTATTGTAGCAGAGTATTAACAAAATATATATTATTGTTTGGTACGAACTACAGTAGGCAAAAAGTTTGGAATTTGCTTGTAAAATAAAAAATCTTTATTAATTCTTCTAAATCAATTTCATCCACTTCAAAGTAATTCCCTCCCGACAAAATACACTTACACCAATTTTTTTTAATCCTCGAATACCTTTCCGGTACAGCCCTCAGCACCTTTTTTGATTCAGCTTCTATCTCCTCAATCGACTCGAATCGCGTTCCCCATAGTGGTCTCTTCAGTTTTGGCGAATACGGTGGTTGTGGCCGTATAATTAATGGCGAAATGCATTATCGTGCTGCAAAAACCAAGAGTTCCTGGCCCATAATTCTAGTCTTTTTAGACGAACTGCTTTACGCAAACGACGCATAAAAATATTCCTTACTAACAGGTTGGCTGGGTGGAAGGAATTCATAGTGCACCACACTACGAAATTCGGAAAAAAAAATTTGTCAGCATGATTTTTGAAGGCATTTTTTGCAAGAAATTTAGCGCTTTCCGTCGAAAAATGCACTCTTGGTCGGTTGATAAACACAAGTGTAAATATATAACTGATAATCACATTGACATAAAATTTGACCCAGATGTCATTAACAGTCCTGCCAACTCAAGAAAAAAAGAAAATTCACCTTACATTTTACGACATAACCCATGTCTTAATAAACCAAATGATTTATCCTTTAAATATGGAATAAGATTTCGTGTTTCATTGTCCAAGATAATCCGCGCACGCTGCGATAATTAAAGGGCTCGTCCTTATTCCGCGGTGGTTTTCTTTTTGCGGCTTCCAGCCGAAGATTATAAGTCCTTCAAATATTCAAATCGATTTCTTGTTGCGGTCAGCGAACAATGTGCGGCTGTCAGGACCCCTGCTTCTGTGGTGACAAGCCCGCTGCAACATTTATGAGTGGCTTAATTGGAATTGCCGCCCAAGGTGGGCGGAGTGAGTAAAGGGCCGACAGGGGGCGTAATGCATCAACTCATTTATAAATCATACTCACACACGCGCATCGCAAAGGATCAATTTATGGCCCAGGATCAAGTTTGGTGTTATGGTGAGGGGACGAAGGGCGAGATAGAGGACAAGGACACGCGCGAATGAATTTTCTGCTGGCCTATGATATTTTTACGCAAGCTCTCACACAGACGTGCCCATATAGATGAGATAGCTCTTTCGGTGTTTGTATGCAGAGAAGAAAACATTTACCATCTGAAGATTATTATCCCCAATTTCAAAATGATTCAATTGTTTGTTTATTTTATTAATCAGTGCTACCAGCAATCAGCTTAAAAAAAAGACCAGATAAAAAATTCAAAAATAGTGGAAAAAACAGGGCAACAAAATTAAAAAAAGACAAACAAGATGACAAAAGTAACCTTTTCTACATTTCAACTTATACGGCCAATTTCGCAAATAATTTAAACGGATTGAAAACCTCATTCAATGCAACTCTAACACACCTTCTCCACTTTATTTTTTAATTTTACCACAATAACTTATTAATGCGTATGCGTAATAATCAAAAAAAAAATGAAACGACCATGCTTAGTCCGAAATTAAATCGCCACCATTTTTCTGACAAAATTAAATTAAAATATTCTCTTCTTCCTTTTACTATGGGAAAATCTTCTCACCTTATTGACTACTTCGCGTCTTTCTTAAGCGCCCGGCAGTTAAACAGGTTTAACTTATGCCAAACATTGACGGTAGTTTACAAATTCAATTATGTATCATTGACTTATTAAAAACCTTCATAGTTGTTCATAGAAGCTATCATTTTCTACATGTCTTCGACAGTATGTTCAATAGGCAGACGGTTTTTAGGATTAACAAAGTCATATTTGAGAATTTGAAGCTTTATGAAGATTGGTTAGGCCATTTTGATTGAAAAATCAGAAATAAATTAACCACGAATTCTTTAGAATATGTGGAACGTAAATTCCTTTGCTAAATTAGTTCTTACAAGGGAACGTTAATTCCTTTCCACATTAACCCAATTAAACAAAAAATATGGCGAAAACTGTGCATTTCATTACATTAAACAAAATACATTTTTGACTGGGAAAAGTAAGTAATACACTACCAAAAATTCATATAAGCATGAACAAAGCGAATAATACAGGTATGGCTAATACCAAATGAAACTTTTTAATTTAGTTTAAAATGTGCTTCTATTTGTTAATGAGTTAGAGCATTTATCAAAGTAATTTTAATTTATTACTTGAAGTAATCATTAGCATTGTATCTATTGGATAGGTTTATTAATTGATTAGCATTTTCTTTTTAAAGTAATGAATTCTGCATGCATATATCCACTTGTCAAGTAACTTCACTGCCCTACAAAATCTGACCAAAAATTATACAGACTTGAACCCTACACTAGAATGCACAAAATAGCTGCCGGCACTCAGGCAAAAATGTTCATGGATTGTTACTGAAAGCCCCACTTACTTACTTACTCCCGGATTTCTCGCAGTACATTCCAATGCCTACATATTTGTATTGTGTGCCTACGTCAGCGCTAACCAGTGGCAACTAAAACGGAGCGGAGAAAATACAAAGGCCCAGTTAGTCATTGAAAGTCAAAGTCAAAGGCAAAAGTACAAAAAACCAATCCAGTGAAAACATGCTGGCCTACGCAGGATAAACACGGTCAAAAGCCCGGCCTAATTGTTATGTGCCGAATGTCTTTCTCTCCATCGCTCGAATTCCAAGCGCGTTCACAGCCTGGGAAAAGAACAGAGGAAAACTTCGAGGAAGGCGAAAGTAAAGCGGAGAAAATGTTGTGAATAAAACGAGCGAAATTAAAACGGAAATTAAGCGCAAAATGAGCAGAGGCAAAAAGGGAAAGCACAAAATCTCAAAAAAAAATACAAAACAGTGGGAAACCTGAGGCTAACCCAAAAATGAGCATCGATAAAGTTGTCCAACTCGGCAAATGGCCAACTGCGTGGAAATAAGAAATACAAAAAAATCAGTTCTCGTCGAATGTGGAAATGCTCTCTCTAGATTTTTTTCGGAAATTATGAGATTTGAAAACAAACAAATCAGGTTAGTTACCTTTTTAAACCATTTGCCAGACCAACTTTTATTAAAGTAAAATGGTGTCAGGCGTGAACAACCAAAAAAAGGACATTCTATCGGGCTGTGTTATAGAAGTTTGGTTATCTAATCTAAATATGTAAATAGAGTTATAAAATAATTTTGGCACTGAAATATCGATGTATTAATACCCAAGGACGATATTTTATTTTCCACAGCATATTCTTAGATACATTTTAGAAAAGTTCCGAAGCTTCCAAAAGAATTTTTTATAGTACTTGTTTAAAACGAATTTGGTAAACGGTAAGCAAATTAAAACGGCAAAAGCTTAGGTACGGCTCTCAGTGGTGAAAAGAAGAAGACCGCAGGTGTCTGCGCGTAACAAAGAATGAAAGTATCCCAAGGCCATCTTCCCCACCCAGTAAATTTCCAGCCCAATTTTGCTTGTTGCTTAACCCATGGAAAATCACAAAAAGTTTCGCAAGGTAAAAAAAGAGAGTCGCGTTTGGCGACTAATTCAAGAGCGTGATAAGGACGACGGCTCATTAGTGAGCATTGGGCGTGGCAGTTAACCAGTGACAAAGGAACAGCTAGGTGGAAATGTGTACAAAAATCTGAAGAGAAATTTCTACTATAAAAAGTAAAAAATTAAAATAAAATTAACCAAAGTTCAGCCGCAAATGATGCTAATTGGCGACATTGGGCCTCGGACTGCACTCATGCTGGCAATAAAAAAGAAGGGGAAGATGGGCACAAATTCCCCTTTACGTTTTTTCTTTGGTATATAAGCTTATTTTCTGAGTTTGTGGGAAGAGAAGTAGCAAGTTAAAGTTAATGTTCTGCTGACAAAGCGAAAAGATTTAATGCGCCTGAAAGTATGCAGGGAAATACGTAAATGACATGTCAGGCAAATGGGTACACTGAAGAAATGGATTAATAACAAGAGAAAAAGCTATAGTCGATGGCCTCGACCATTAGATACCCGTTACTCAGCTTCCTTTTTTCAATAACACACCTAGCCTATAGCGCCACCTATCTTCTTTTTCTATAGCGTTACTTTTCCTACAGTGCCAACTAGCCTATAACGTCCCTAACGTATTAGTGGAAACACCCTGCAGTACCATTCAGCGCTTATTGAGCACTCAATCACTGCAAAAAGCTCATCACTCAGCGCTCAATGAGCGCACAATTTGTATGGAGCTATGTGCTGAAATTAACATAGGCATGTCCTAGGGTTCATCAGTGCTCAAAAAATAGCACGCATTGAGCGCTTTTTTGAGCACCCTCTTGAGCGCTCGATTGAGCAGCTGAAAAAGCACACGTTCAGCACATGTTGAGCGCTCGATTGAGCAGCGGAAAAAGCACACATTCAGCACATGTTGAGCGCTCGATTGAGCAGCGGTAAAAGCACACATTCAGCACACGTTAAGCGCTCATTCAAGCAGCGAAAAAGCGCACTTTCAGCGCTTAGCAGCAAATAAAATTTCAGTTGTAATTTTTATTTTTATTTGTTTATTTTAAAATTTGAGCTCGGGGGTTTCCGGTGTTATCGGGGTCGCTGGCACCTCCTTCTCAGCATCTGGTGCCGGCGTTGCCTTTTTTTGGTACAACTCAAGTTTTTAACGCACCGCATTGCCTTCTGCAGCGCCTTTTCGGGAGGCTCCGAGGGATCCACCAGGGCGATTGCATCTAGTATTAGAAAAAAATTAGTTTTAAAAATAAAACAAGACGAGAATAAAAACGAGTGACCGAAAGTAATCGTTAGTTGTAAGATTTATTTATAATAAAAGAAATGTTATCTTTGGCATTCAATGTAAAAATCCCAGAAGTCTTTTAAAAATTGAACTTACAAACAATAGTTTTCAGCCTCAACAAAAACTTACTTAATAAGGCACGGGCGAAATTTGGGTAGTCTGAGCCTCTTCTTGTTTTGCCCCCCCTCCAAGTTGTGGGACAGAACAAGTTCCTCGGATAATATGCTTAAGATGGAACGACTAAGCCTTCCATTTTTTTATAGATTTACCATCAGCCTTGTCTAAAAATATAAAGAAAATTAAAAAAATATCGAGAAGAAATTTGCAAACTTTTGTTTGCGGTCACTTGATCTATTTTGTTGTAAAAAATTATTTATGTATTTTTTTTATTATTTATTAAATCATTTATTTATTTTGCAGATGCGGAAAAAATACCACTTTTCCAGGGACGGAAAATTAGAGATGTTTGAGATTTTTATTTAAATAGCCATGTTTGTTTACTTACACAAAAATAAAAATTGTGCTTTAATCAAAAAATCATAAGTTATAAAAACAAACATCTCTTATTTTTGGTCCCTAGGAACTCAGCACTCAATAAGATTTTAAAATTTTTTCACAGATTTGTTTATTATATGCACCATTTGTTGCTTTTCACGTCAAAAATTAATATTTTTCACAGCTATTTTTTTTCCGCCACGTTTTATTTTGGGAATCTTGTATTTCCCTTATTTTAAATATAGATTATCTTGTTTTTTACTCTCACTGTTTTCAATATTATTAGTCTGCGACAGACTTACCTGGGAATCGTTTCTTTTTCACTTTTAAGGCACTAATTTAATTTAATTTAGTAAATTACTGGTATGTTTGCTTCAACTTCTAACTCCTTCACTAAAGTAAACGCAAGTGAAAAGACGAAAAAAGGCGCGTGCCTTCCAGAAAAACAACAAGCAACAACAATAACGGTTCCGCTAAGCCGTTGTTGTCTTGCACATAAAAGCAGGGTATTTATAGACATATTCGACTATGCAAATCGGTTTATAAAAATATATTTTTAAAACTTTACATATTATTAAATTATATTAATAAACATATAAATTTGTTTAAGAAATACAAATATTTTAAAACAGAAACCTATTATTTTAAATCGTTGTTTTAACATTTACGAACAAATGTCGCATTATTCAAAAGGCAAGGGTGCACAAAGGTCTATATATTTTAGTTGCTGGGCCTCTTTCCCTTCACGCGCACTTTTTCGTCTGAGACTTGACGAGAGAGGGAGAGCCCAAAATTACTTTTTTGTGCGTTCTCTTTGCGGACCCGACTGAGAGCGCGTCGCTTTGCCGCCGTTGCGCTCAGCTCTGCCGGCATCGCTGGCTTCTCTGCCGACGTCGCAGTCGGCTTCGTGATGATTGGGCGCTTAACTCAATTTTGGAACTGCAGGGCAGCTAGTTTGCTGCATGTGGTGTGCAGTATCGATTGAAATGCAAAATATTGATTATTATTTGGTTATAACTTATTAATGAGTTCTCCGGATTCAATAATATTTGGCGTGTAGATGGGTACCGTTAATAAAAACAACCTCTCATTTAAATTTGTACAAAATATTTTTAAATGTGGGCGCTAGAGTGGGCGTGGCACCCTGCTGAAACAAACTTGCGCTACGCAAGAAGCTTACGAATCTACATGCCAATTATTTCTCGCTTATATAAATTCCGAGATCACACAGTTCATATGGACGGTGATCCTGATCAAGAATATATATACTTTATAGGTTCGAAAACGCTTTCTTCGCTTCCTTCTACCTGTTACATACTTTCTGAGGAATCTAGTATACCCTTATACTCTAGGAGTAACGGGTATAATAAATGAAATGTTCAACAAATGTTTTTATTTATGTAAATTAGTAGTTTGAAGCTTATTTCTCGTCCCACGTTCGTCGGAAAGTATGTAACAGATAGAAGGAAGCGTTTCCGACCCCGTAAAGTATATTATATATATGTATATACCATACATATTCTTGACCAGGAACACTAGCCGAGTCGATCTAGCCATGTCCGTCTGTGCGTCCGTATGAACGCTGCGATCACGGAAACTATAAAAAGTACAATGTTGGGATTAAGTGAGCAGAATATAGAGATTCTGGGACAGCTCAATTTTGTTTCAACAAAGCGCCAAGCCCACAAGCTCGCCAGAAACTTAAAAAAAATCTTGCGTATGAACGTTGATTCATATTTCGGAAACTATCAAAGCTTGAGGGTTGTGATTTCAGATTTAGATTCCTTAGATTCGTACGCAGCGCAAGATTGTTACGCAATTGTGCAACGCCCACTGGGGGGAAACCGGTATTTCACTTAATTAAACATTTATATTTGTTTAAGGTATGGAATGGAATTTGTTAATAGGAATGCAATTTAAATTTGCGAATAACAAAATTAGTTTGTAATTTCAAATTAGTTTTGCGCTCTGAAGAAAACGTGCTACATCTGTTTGAGATTTGCAAAAAATATAAATATATATTTATTATTTATACGCCTATTATTTATACGCCTATTTAAACAAAAGCAACCATTACCAGTATTGTAAAATGGGTAAACAAAGAAATACCATTGGAATTGTACACGTGGTATTTTATTAGTATGCGGTCACACTTAAGGGCTTGGCTATTTCCATACGCCAGAGAGAGAGGCAGCAAGATGTGGAGGCCATGACGTCACAATGGGCAAAGCGGGATATGAAAAAAATAGCGCGAAATTAATGCAGTTACTTGCGGGTATGCCTTAAGATCACGAACAGCACATTTAAAAACCACTTTGCAAAATTTATTCCAGAGAAATGGCAAAAGAAAAAGTTGACCGCACCAAAAATCTTGTTGTACTTTCTCATTTTGCAGTCTATGTATTTTATCATGTTTTGGTGCTGTAGAAAGCATGTAAAGGTGTTTAGTTTCATCATCTCTGGCAGTAATTTGTTCAAAAGCCCTTATATTTCAGTGTCTACGCTTTTTATTTTGTTTTGTCTAATTAAAAGTAAAAGCGTTATTTTTAGAATGCAACGGACTATTGGCCTAGCATTCAACCTACCAAAAATCCGTCCAAACAGAAAACTCCATATAAAAAAGGCACAACAATTTGTATGGCGTAGTTTTTTTTAAGGTCTATAGGCGACCGTTTTTGAGCCGCACAAAAAAATGAGACTGTGTGACCGTGAAGTGGAACACGGATATTACCACGTCGTTTAACACTGAGGCACCAAAAAATAATCAAATAATTGTCTCCAAACACAATTTTTTGGATGACATTTTCTAAGGTCGATAAAATGATAGATAACGTATTAAAGCCTACTAGGATGAGACTTCCTAATCTTGAACATAAACAAAACCTGAAAGCTGATGGAATAATCAAAACAAGGCATCTGATTTTGCTCAACAGTTCAGTTCTGTGCTTCGCAGCACTCTGTAAATGTTTCTCGGTTATATAAATCAAAAGATTCGATAAATCGCTTATTGAATAGAATTCCGAGGCCCGAGTCCGATTTATTCCTTTGACGTCATTTGCACATTCCTGAGCCGAGCTGCAGCCTTATTCGTTATGCGAACCTCCGAATTTGGATAATTCGCTTTGAGTAATATTTGTAAGCATGTACATTTTAAGTTTGTAATTTGTATGTTCGGCATTCGACATGAAAGTTTTCCATACTTTTCGACGGCGCCATCTCTATCTCGCCACTTGACCCGTGCCGCAGATGTCGTCGCCTTCTCTCGCCAGTTTATACAGATTTTTGCCGCTTGTCAGCGTTTCTAAGCGACTGGGAACTAATGTGATCACTGCAAACTAATCAGAAAATGTGTTTGACTTTGTTGTTGTCCCTGGGTTTGTTTCTTATCATTTAGCATAACGACTACACACACGAAGAAACCCACATACACTTAGAGAAAACCGGTACTGCATTTATTGAAAAAACGGGAACGGAAGTTTACTTCGGCAAGACGATGTTTTAATTCCATGAAGATTTTAAAATTAAATTTTTTAAATATTATCTTCAAAAACATAAAATTTGTATCTACTTCATACTATGGCATCCATGGTAGCTATAGGATATGGTCGCACGATCAGACAGGTTTTTTGCCCTGATCAGTGTATACATAATATATTAGCATTTGCAAAGTTTATTGTGGCTTGCTTTTAAGCTGTTGAAATTTCTGGAGAAACTTGGTAATCGGAAGAGCCAATTTTTAACAATCCATTTTAAAAATAGCTTTATGTAAAAACAAGGTTTTTTAAATTATATATGACCGCAGCGGCGTTTTCAGTTTTATATGAGGTCTTGTAAATTAAAACTAATAAGTTATAATTGTTGATGATATTTATTTTTTTCTACTCATCAATATTATATAATACAAAGAATTTTCACCATTGATTTAAAAAAAAAGACTCACAAAATAGTTCATCAATAATGATTGTTAAGGCAATATTTTATAATAAAACTCTACAAATAATTTTCACCATTGAATTTTTTGAAATAAAACTACATAACTGAATAAAAATCATGGTAAATTTGCGTACATTGACCAATTTGGGGACCATTAGTGTCCTTTCTTTTTTAAAGACTTCTTTACTTTTTTTAGTTTTTTGCTCAGTGAACACAGTGACAACTTTTGTGTGCATATGTAATTTAGGATGGTTATTGTTGCCCTTCGTTGCGGATCTCGTTTTCCTTTTCATTTTGGTTCTTCATTCTTTTTCAATTCAATTCCATTTGCCAGCTGCCCCTTTTTATCCCTCAACTCCAATTTTTTGTCCTTTTCCCTCCCAGAGAGTCTGGCAAAATATTGACTGACATTGATTATACACTCAGGGGAGTGTTATGAGCCCCAGAAACCCCCGAAAATGTCGTGGACATGAAGCTTATAGCCCCAAGATGCTTTCAGACAGTTTTTCTATTATGCCATGTTATGGCATTTGCTGTCTCTTTTTCTCCCTGGGATATCGGTCTCTTTCGGGATGTGTGTGTGCTCGGTGCCCGGTTAAGCTTAACAGTCAAGGACTTTGTTGTTGAAAGTTGATTTTTGTTGATTTGGCTTAGTGGCTGCCACGCACACTTACGAAGAACGCGCACAATCACGGATACAAGGCATCGATTACCATGCGTTGGACACCATGCGCGAATCCGCGCGGGGAAAATTTAGGGGAATAAGTCCCCCACCCGCTAAGAAGTGAAAATAATTGTAATATTCACAAAGTTTGCGCACTTTAATTGCTTATGTAAATGGGTATTGATAATCAGAACAAAATCCCATTTAAGCTACTAATTGTGGTTGAAATAAAAATACGCTGTGCAAGAACCTCAAGAGTTTGCATGCCAAATCCCAACCTTCTAGCTTTTATAGTTTCTATCTTTCTAACAAAAAAGAGCAAACTTATTATTCCTACCGGCTCCTTACGAGATTTCACTAACACGCCACGTGAAACCTAGGTGGCGCTAGTGAAATTTCGTAGGCAGCCGATTTTCTGTATGAATATATCTCCATCCCTTTCGCACTCTATGTAGTTTGCTCATTATTAATTATTTTTTGGGTTTGGCATATAGATGGTTATTGATAATAAGACGAAAATCTCATTTAAGTGCTTAAGTGCAAAGTATCGGCGTTAGAGTGGACGTGGCACCCTGTTGAAATCAACTTGCGCTGCGCAGGAAGCCCAAGAATCTGCATGCCAAATCCCAAAATCATAGTCGCAACCCCTCTTTGCGCTAAGCCACTCAGTAGGCAGAAATTGATTTAAAGTTAAGGACAACTGTTTCGTTTGTTTTGACTTAAAGAAAGTTTTTTCATATATTAATATATTAAATATATTAAATAAAGAATTTTGTTCTTCAATTTAGACTACGTTTTTTACTCACTGTAGTTAATTACTTAAATTGGTTAGTTGAGTAACGGATAAGTGATAGACGAGAAATTCGCCAACAGCGTTGCTTTTATTATTTTTATAAGACAGTCATAAAATACATTTCGGAGTCTCCAAGCATCTTA